GGGCTCCACTTAAGATTGGCCCACACTACCCACATAAACGGACTGTCACCGCCTCCGCTGGGATTCTCGGGGGCGAGGACTGGATGCAATTAACACCAACCCCTTCCCCCCCCGCACAACCCACATAATGGGGCTGTCACCCAATGTCAGCTCAGTGTCGTTCAGCTCGGCAGGCGGAAGCCCGGTTGCAGTCACGGCTACCGCGTTCTGCAGCTTCAGGTCTGCTTCGTTCAACAACAGAATGAACAATACCAGCTGAGAGTGGCTGGAAGGCGCCAGCGAGGAACAGCAGGCCAGCGTCAAATACGATTCCCTGATCAGCATTCACGCTGCGCTCTGAAGAACACATTCATTAGCATGATACTGTTTTGAAACGACGGTACTACAACAACCGTTGGAAGACTAGTGATTTTAGGGTAACGTGATACCATATGATAGTTCGAACATCGATTTCGATAATGTCCACCGTGTGCCCCACAGCAGAGGTGGGAGCAGGGACGGTGACTTGCGCAGGGGTTTATAGTGCCAGTAGACTTGCGCTGCATCTACCTACACTCTCTCCTCCTCCCCCGCCTGAGCTCGGTGTCAAGACCAAGTCAAGAATACCGGAGACGAGGGAGGCCGCAGGTGGATGGCTCGGACGGATCCTCACCTTGATACCCCACTCCGCACCCACTGGTCCACACAAAAATGACTAGGATTTTGACCGCCGCAACAATGGAGGGCGTGGCAGTGATCCCAGTTGTGCGACGGCTGTCGACAACAGGAACTGCCAGCGCACCCTCTACATGTTGGCATTTGTTACTGAGCACAGATAACGCCTGCCAGAATCCGATGTGGCACCCGTGTTGGTCCAGCGCCTCTAACACGTGACCCGTTTGGGGTGATACCAACATATACCGGCATTCGGAGACCGATTTCGACGCAGAGTTACTTTTCGGCATTATGCCGATGGATATCACTTCAACGTTAAGATGATAAATCCCGTCAGTGGCGAGGTACCACTACTCCTACCAACTTATGATTCGACAGAATATAAGTAATCGCCTTTTGAAATGCCATCGATTGCTTCATCAATACATTGTGGATATGTATGCAAAAATCGAAACTGAACGCCTGCTTTTCATTCGCTTGATGCAGACCAAGCCGCGCTCTGAATAATATATTCCTTTGCATGATGC